ACCACTTATTTCGATCCCTGGACAACTCCCTTCGTGGTAAAACTTTTAACGATGATGACGCTGTAAAATCTCACTTAACTCAGTTTTTGGCCGAAAAGGATCAGACTTTCTACGAGCGTGGAATTTTCAAGTTGTCAGAGAGATGGCAAAAGGTCATCGAACAAAATGGAAAATACATTGCAGATTAAACTTCGTTCCAAGTAAAAAAAAATTTTTATTCCATTTGAACAAATCGGCAATTGCTTAGTTGCCAACCCAATATATTTTTACAATTTAACAACAGATGGCAGCACTAGTTGCTTCTTACAATATGGCCGAAATTTTGCCCCCTGCCTTTGCCGTCACTTCAGCCCCCCCCCCCCCAAACAACTAAGCAACAGCAACACAAGCCAGTGACTGTGAAGGCAGAACAAAACAAAGCTAAATCGGTTTCGCATTAAATGTGGTAAACATATTTAATATTCTTACTGTCTTTAAACTAAAAATTTGTTGCTTGGTTGTCGTTGAATTAAATATTTTAAAATCCTTATGGAACATAAAAGCAAACAGACAATTCATAGCGATGCACGGAATATAATTCGCCGAGTCGTAAGCAAATGTGATGAAGAGGCACGCAGCAATTTCCTTCATCTTCTGAAACAGGCTACCATTCGCGCCTCCAATTATGTTGGAGTTTCGACTGTAACGATTAAAAAAATTCGGAAAGAAATTTTGTACAGTTTATGCTGTATTATATATTGTTTGTTATAAATTCCATCCATGTTTATCTACAAAACAGAAAAATTGTACAAGCGGAATAATATTTCGATTGTCCAACATTTTCTTAAATTTCAACTATTCTTCTGAGTGTTTTATAGAATATTTTATTGCTAACTCAAAAAAGAAACTGGTATATATAAAGATAAAACTGCTCGAAACAATTCGAGCTACTCGATTCTTTACCGAGTTGATTAGTTATATCATAATCATTAAAAAAAAAAGAATGTCACAATTATAATTGTTTTAGTCCGAAAAATCAACAAAATATGTTAGTATAAGTTGTGTAAAAAAAGAACCAAAAATAAGAAAGTTTTCTATTTACATTAACATTGTAATCATAATCCTTTCTTTTCTGCTTGCTGTTTTCCTCTACGTTCGGCAAAATACAAAGAGTACTTTTTTTTAAATGGAATAACTTTTTTAAAACTGAATTAAATGACTTTTTAATTTCTGGAGATGTAAGAGGAACTAGTTTATTGTACAATCACTGAAATACCTTTTTTTAATTTTGCTATTAGTAATTGCCTACCGAGCGATTTTGGACACATGTATTTACATACGTGAGCTGTTCAGTTCTGTTGCCTGCGATTAGAGGACGCTGAAGTCAGTGTTGAATTTCTACGTCGATATGGTAGTCACGATTAGCCATGAAAGTCCATAAAATGATTTGTCTATTCTGTACCTCCTCGTCTGTGCTAGAGCTCCTCATAACGCAATAAGTATGAGTAAACCTAAGCATAAGTATGTGCCACAGTTAAAGTCAATACCGTGTCAGTAATGTTGTTAACAATATTAATTTGAAGATTTTGGTATAGATAGCGCCATCAGTTAAAGCAACGGCTTTTCTGCTGCAAATGATTCTTGCAACAAAAACACAAATGCATCTCTATCTCTGAGATATTAGATATATCTAATATATATAATATATTATATATAATATATATAATATAAGAGTAACTATAGTTACTCTTTATCAAACACATGTAAAAACAAGACTATACTGAACATAGTTAAGTTATAACAAATAACATAGTTGAGTTATAACAAATTAAAGATGGCAAAAATCGCAGTTTTATCGCGATTTTGACCAAAAATTTGGGTTACCGAGATCTACGAGAGACATTTTTTAGATTTCCGTTATAGACTCAGTTTAAAAAGTTAAAAAATAAGAGTTTCTATTTTTTTTGTCATTCCAAGTAACAGCAAAATCTCGCTATCATCTAAAAAAATTCAAGTCACTTAGTCCAGTTTTAAAAAAAGTTATTGCGTTTTAAAAGATGTACGCTTAATTTTGTGTGTAACCTTTATTTGTCGCTACGGAAAGATATAAAATAGTGAATAGAAAATATTCGATATAAAATTAGCAAATTTTTAGCAAGATATGTAAAACAATCAAATTCAATAGCCATGGGTGCTATAGCTTGCGTACGAGTGCCGTAGAAACTAAAAAAATATGCATATATAATAACAATAATATAAATATATAATATATAATTATAATATATATAAATATAACATAATAATATAATAATATGCGCACACTGAACATATAAAATCCTGTGAAATTACTATTTCCAGCAAAGTAAGAGATACATCAATTATTTTAATATACACTAATTATTTATCACAGTTTAAGTTTATGTTCGTTAAAAATTGTTTCGAACTATAATTAATGGAATGTTTGTTTCAAACGAGTAGTCGGAATCGTCGATTCAAAGCAACGTTTATCACAGAAAATATCGAATTCGTAACAGAAAATAGTTGGAAAACTAAGATAAGTAAATATACATTTACAATGACCAATGTTCGAGGCATCATTCATTTGCAAAATAGTTCTCGTATTATTGCTTCGACCATGGAATACAAGTGACAACAGGTGAAAGCTGGGAACGTCCAGTTGTAGGTTTCCGTTCTAAGTTTTCGTGTGGTGGCATAGTAATTTTGCCGTGAGAACTTGTTGCGCCGAATAGGCCACGCTCTATCGCTAAAATGGCCAACATCTGGAAGCGATTTTCACGTCA